ATGAATGAATGAATGAATGAATGAATGAATGAATGAATGAATGTATATATTCATTCATTCATTCATTCATTCATTCATTCATTCATTCATTCATTCTCTTAAGCAAATTCAACTGAGGACTTTTTAAATTTTTAATATGAAATTATTTCAATTCTAAACTTTCACCAAACTCTCCCAAAATATTTGATAATAAGGTTGGTGAGGAAAGAGGATATCAAAACATGTAGGAATATAATGTATATTTAAACCAATGTTTTTCTAAATGTAAAAATAAACATTTTTGGTGTCTTGGGGGAGGCATGGTGTCTAATAGAATAAATATTGGAGCAGACTGAAAAATAGTAGCATTCCTTAGGAATCTAAATTGAACTTAACTTTATTTAATAAAGTTATCTACAATCACAATGAACAGTAGCCAAATCTGGAGATAGCACCAATTTATTTAATTTAGCCACATGAAGTCAAGAGGAGCTTAGATGGCTATTACAGGTAATCCTTGCTTAACAGCAGTAATTGGGACTGGCAACTCCATTGGTAACCAACAGGGTTGTAAAGCGCGACATCACGTGACATGCCAACTTGCGGCAGCAGTTGCAGTAGTTCTGGTTGCCATTGTTAAGCGAACCATGTGTGGTCATAAAGCACGATGTCACGTGATTGTCCTCTGCAACCCTCCTGCCAGCTTCCCCATTGACTTTGCTTGTCAGAAGTTGGCAGTGAGGGTTGCAAATGGTGATCCCGTGACTGCAGGACACTGAGACCATCATAATTGCAAGCTGGTTGCCAAGTGGCTGAATTGTGATCATGTGACTGTGGGGCACTGTGATGCCGCAACTATAAGGACCAGTCATAAGTCTATCAAAGTCTCGTAACTTTGAATGGTCACTGAAACAAGTGGTCATTAAGTGAGGACTACCTGTAATGCATATCTTCCAAAAAGTATATGTGGTGCTTATAATACTTGTGTTACAAACTTCTATAAACTGACAATAATCCCTCTAAGAAAAAGATCTTAGAAAGTTTCATAAAGGAATATTGCAAATCTGTGATAGCACCACAACATAGCCATGTTATGCCATCTCCAAAGAATATCCCAGAGCCAAAAAAATCAGAATTGTTTCAAATGTAGCAGCCTTTCAATCTTTCAGTTTTTCAAAGCACAAGCAATGGAACCACTCCTAAGAAGTGATGGTTGCAAAAGTATCTATCTTTGTACATATGTGTGTGTTTGTGAGAGTGAAAGTCCTGGGATTAGAAGAAAAAGAGAAAA